TTTATGTTCATTGATCAAATTTATGAATTAATGATCTAATGGTTGCAAAGTTGCAAGGTGGCAATTTCGTAATTAGTGAGAAGTCTCGTGGCRTTTATAAATGTTAAGATCTGACGATTGTAAATCTAATCCAAGGGTTGAGAATTGGTCTTACAGGTCTCACAAAAAACCATTGGTCTCACATGATCCCAAGTCTATATATATATATATATATATATACTTGGGATCATGTGAGACCAGACTGTTTTCGTGAGACCCGTGAGACCAGCATTTTACACTTGAAACTTCACAGCAAAATACTGTGAAGGTGACTTTTTAAAACCTTCACAGTGTTTTTGCTGTGAAGGTTCGACTTTTTAAAACCTTCACAGTGTTTTTGCTGTGAAGGTTCGACTTTTTTTAAACATTCACAGTGTTTTTGCTGTGAAGTTTACGTGTAAAAATGTAGTCTTACGGGTCTCACGAAAACATGCTGGTCTCACGTGAACCCAACCCTATATATATATATACATATATCAAGTAGTAATTAAGTTGATGTCTTGTGAAGTTGTAGTGAATGGAGGTCCTCTAAATACTAGTTTGAGGATGAAATGCAAAAAGAGAAAGAAAAAAGAAGGTATTTAATTTGTATGAATAATTAGAGAAAAGAAAAGAGTTAGAAGTAGAAGTAATTACATATAATCAAATAGAGGATGAGAGAGAGAGAGAGAGAGATATCCAATGAAATAACAGGACAACTATAGAGTTGAATAAACACCATATCCATATGTATACAAATACTTGAAAACAAAAATACAAAATAATGAATAAGTTGAATGATGGATTTTATATTCAGGAGTTGGAAGTATTTTTCCATTTTCAAACTAAATCAAATGTTATATACATATTATATATATATATATAGAGAGAGAGAAAGAGAGAGAGAGAGAGAGAGAGAGAGAAAGAGGGGGTGAAGGCAGGAAGGAAAGTAGAAGGATGGTGAGAGAAAATGTTGAGCAAGGGAGGGAAGGATACACAGAAGATGGGACGGTGGATCTGCGAGGCAACCCAATCCTCCGATCCAAACGTGGTGCCTGGACTGCTTGTTCCTTTGTCGTTGGTGCCTACTTCCAACCTTTTTGGATCTTCACTTTACACCACTTTACTCTACTTTACTTTACATCATCATCTTCTCCATCCTTACTTGCTTTTTTCCATTTCTTTTATCATTTAATTAACTCTACTCTCTCTCTCTCTCTCTCTCTCTCTATATATATATATATATGTATATCTCTTAATTTCCAATCCATATGGAGGTTGGTCAATCATCTTCATGTATTATTGGTTTGATTTACAGCTTCTAATCTTTTTTTTTTTAATTTATTTATCAACATGTCTTTCATTTAATTACTACCAAAATATCATTTGGATTCACACTTCAAATTAAACTCTCTTTATTATTATTTAAAAAAATAAAAAATAAAAAAAAGTGTTGAAGTGAATCAATGATTAATAAAATATATGTATGTATATGGGTGCAGTATATGAGGTTTTTGAGAGGATGGCATACTATGGTATCTCATCCAACTTGATCATATACCTAACCACGAAGCTGCGACAAGGGACGGTAAGGTCATCAAACAATGTCACCAACTGGGTGGGTACCATTTGGATGACTCCTATTCTTGGTGCTTATTTGGCCGATGCCGTTCTTGGTCGTTATTGGACTTTCCTCATCTCTGCATTCATCTACCTAGCGGTATGTACCTAAATACCCCTCTCTCTCTCTCTCTCTCTCTCTCTCTATCACGTCATGATTTGAAAAGGAGACATTTGTCTTAAAAATATTTAATTATTACATTTATTTAATCACGCCCATCTTTACTCTTATTAGTAGAAACAAAAGTTTTCTCCATCACATAATCAATTTAAAACAAACTAAAATAAAAAATATCTAACACTTATTTTAAGAGTGTATATATATATATATCTATGCTTGCCTTTTTTTACTTTAATTGATTGATTCCACTTGCACCTCATTCTCACACACACACACACTCTCCGATCTCTCTCCCTCTCTATATCTATATGTATGTATATATATATAGAGAGAGAGAGAGAAAGATAGAGAGATAGCGAGGTGTGAAAGGTTGACCCATTGAGCAAGTAGGTAGGGGTAGTAGCTAGTAAGATAGTATATTCCGTCTTTATCTCCAATTTATAGCTTCCATGTTTTTGTCTTTTTATCTTCATTTCTATCAAATAAATACAAATACAATTTATAATATAATATTTGCATTAGTAATAGTAATAGTAATAGTAATAATAATAAAGGTTCAAATTTAAATTTATAAGCTTCATCCTTTCTCGATTACAAAGTTTAATTACCAAACACTACACTTGATTCATATCTTCTACAAAAACACTTTTACTTCATTTTTCAGTGATACATGCATATCCCTAGCTCTAAAAGGTATGTGAATAAACAAAGCTTGGAATCACATGATATCTCAGCATATATCCACCACAAATCAACAAATGTTTTTTTTTTTCTTTTTTTAAATTATAAAAACAACCACCATATAATACCAAATAAATCGTAAATTCAAAATTACTTATTTTACAACACTGGATCCACCTTTTACGGATTCGACACCCTTCAAATATGCTAATATATTTCATATCCATACATAAACAGATTGGGTTTTAATAAGAATGAAAGTCAACGCCATCTCTAAACTTTTTTTATGCTTTCAACCAAAACTTTAAAACATGCCTCAACCGGAAAAAAGACGCAAAAATACTTTAGGTTTATATCCATCATTTGTACAGTTTTTTCTAACAAAGTGGTGTAAAATTTTGTATAAATTGTGGTAATTCAATTCCAATATATTATTTTTTACATCAAATAAATTATTAAAACTATATTTCATATTCTTAACTTTTATATATATATATATATATATATAATATCCTTACTTTTATAATTAGTTTATACAAATTCGAAGCATATATAAATTTTGTTATAAAAATTTATAACTTGAACAAACCATATACAAACAATTAAATTTATACTATATGTGTTAGTGAAATTTTATTTTCGGTTATGTATTTTCTTTTTCTTTTAATTTCTTTAATACTATACATTATATATATATATATATGTCTTTTTATATGTTTTATTATTTATACATATATATATCATATATAAACTAATATATATAAGTATAATTTATAATATAATTTTATAACTAAACTAGCATTTTTGTAATTAACATAAACTAAAATTATATAGACATCAAACTTGCATAAATATTAAATACTAAATTTGTTGTACATTTCACCAACATCATCTGGTGTAGAATTGTAACAAAATTGTATGAAAATGAATATAAAAATGAGATTTTGGTGATGATGAGATGCCTTTTACCGAGCAACAAAAATCATAAGTTTTCAGGTATAATTATTATAGGGTTTTCTTAACATAATAAGAAATACAAATATTAATTATGCTATATATTGATTTTATTTCACATAAATATTTATTAAGAACATGACAAAAAAATATTGTTTTTGATTCAGGAAAAAAAAATGAAATAAATTATATGCAAATCGAAATTTCAAAACCATATAAACCATAGGTAAGTTACATAGATGAGTGGATCTATATATTAATAAAAATAGAGGAAGCAAAACCAAAAAGCATCTAAATTTGTATACATGAGTGAATTTTGGTCATTGTACAAGTTTAGACAAGTACATAAACCATTTAGAAACACCTCATCGATCTCAAAACGTGGGTTTATAAATTAAATAACCATTCTTGAATTTGTTTATCACTTTCACCTACCTACATGGGATGGCAGCAAATATGCTCACATAAACTTGAATTTGTTCCTTGATTTCATCTTCTTCACAAAAACGCTATTTGTTCAAAATGGATGGATGGAATAAGAAGGCAGGTAGATGTACATCCTCATGGGAGCAAATCTGATACAGAAAAATTTCGACAGTTCATGAGACTTTTCTTCGATTTTTGGAGGAGAAAGAAACAAACTTGAAAGAAGGGTGGAGATGGGTGGTGGGATTCATATAAAACACCAAAGAAGCCATTAACAAGACTCTTTTGCACCTCCTTAATTACCCTCCATTTCTCCATTTTTGTTGATAGTTGCAAATATAGCAATCAATCGCCTCAGTCAACATCATCAATTTCGTTTTGTTTACATCTCCAAGAACACTATATATGTCACATGTTGAAATCACAGAAAAAAAGTATGGCAAGGTTAATTAATAATTAGAAATATATGTATATGGATTGACAACTGATATGAATCTAAAATTTAATTACAGGGAATGTGCTTACTGACGCTAGCAGTTTCAGTATCAGGGCTAAAGCCTCCCACTTGTGATTCTGGGACCGACTGCAAGAAAGCTTCCACCTTGCAACTTGCTGTATTCTTCGGCGCCCTCTATACACTTGCTGTTGGAACTGGTGGCACCAAACCTAATATCTCCACCATCGGTGCCGACCAATTCGACGACTTTGACCCCAAAGAGAAGGCCCAAAAGCTTTCCTTCTTTAATTGGTGGATGTTCAGCATCTTCTTTGGTACCCTCTTTGCTAACACGGTTCTGGTCTACATACAAGACAATGTAGGATGGTCTCTCGGTTATGGCCTCCCTACTCTTGGCCTCTTGATATCCATCTTGATCTTCTTGGCCGGAACACCTTTTTACAGGCACAAGATTCCTACTGGCAGCCCTTTCACTAAGATGGTTAGGGTCATTATGGTTGCCCTAAGGAACTGGAATCTACCCCTCCCAACTGATCCCAAACACCTCTATGAACTTGACTTGCTCGAATATTCTAAGAAAGGAAAATACAGGATCGATTCCACTCCTACACTCAGGTTTAATTATAATTATTTGCATGCATGTATATATGTCTCTCTCTTTATAATTATATATATATATATATATATGATATATCATGCATCTATGGTAATTGATTTCTCCTAATGCATCATCACTTACATTGATCTATAATAATTGATGCAGCGTCTTAAATAAAGCAGCTTGTGTTAGAACAGACGCAATTTCTCCACCGTTGATGCCATGTTCTGTAACTGAGGTTGAGGAAACTAAACAGATACTACGAATGATCCCAATCTTGATAGCCACCGTCGTCCCAAGCACAATGATTGCACAAATTAGTACGCTTTTTGTTAAGCAAGGAACTACTCTAGAGAGAAATATCGGAAGCTTTGAAATCCCACCAGCCAGCTTAGCTGGATTTGTGACCCTATCCATGCTTATATTTGTTGTGCTCTACGACCGCATATTTGTGAGAATAATGGCAAAGTGGACCAAGAATCCAAGAGGGATTACTCTCCTCCAAAGAATGGGTACAGGAATGGTTATCCACATCATTATAATGGTGGTAGCGTCCGTAACCGACCGGCATAGGCTAAGCGTCGCAAAAGATCATGGCGTGGTTGAGAATGGGAAGCAAGTTCCTTTGTCAATCTTGGTCCTCCTTCCTCAGTTTATACTAATGGGAATGGCAGATGCGTTTCTAGAGGTGGCCAAGATCGAATTTTTTTACGATCAAGCACCAGAAAGTATGAAGAGTCTTGGGACTTCTTATTCGATGACAAGTCTAGGGATTGGGAGTTTCTTTAGTAGCTTTCTCCTATCCACGGTATCTCGTGTTACTAAGAGGAATGGTCACAAAGGGTGGATTTTAAACAACCTCAACGACTCACATCTCGACTACTATTATGCTTTCTTTGCAGTGCTCAATTTGTTCAACTTCATCTTCTTTCTTGCAATGGCCAAGTTTTACGTATACAAGGCTGAGGTCTCAGATTCTATGGTCATTCTTGGACAAGAGTTGAAGTCAACTACTACTACTGATCATCATGTGGTAGCTGAAAAAGAAGCGGCATCAAGGTTCAACTTAACTTGAAGACCCAACTAAAAGGAAATTAAAGATTTGCACAAGTAAAACGAAAGAAATGATTATGTAGCTACAACAGTCCACTTGTATCAGCTTTGTTTAATTAGGTCATGTTGCACCTGTAACTTTTGATATAGAAAATGGCATATTATCTCGAATTCTGGATGGATGAAGTTAATAATATTAATCTAAAAACAAAGGAATAACGAATATACGTCGTAATTTCATCAAATATTGATTAACAGCCTAATCCCCTACAAATTAAGAATGAAGAACAAAGATTAGTACACACAAAACCTGAATTCCTCCTGGCCTCCCCAAACAAATTTAACAAAAACTTAATTAATTACATGCAAGATGGATGTTGATATCCTCCCAATTGAGTATTAGTATACATATAGAATCCCCCTCTGATTCTCATGGATGGATCATGGATGTATATATACATGGTGTTTTTTAAGGTTAGGTGGTTAGGCTCGCTTCGCCAGATGGAAAGTTCTCTTCAAGAATAAATTTGCAACACGATCTTTTCTATGGCACAAAACACGCAACATAGTGTTAGGGTCACTGCTGCTCCACCTTCCGGTTGTGGGAGGCATTGGCAATGTTTGCCCTGAACCTACTCCAATACCACTAGCCTCACAAGCCACCACGGTAAAGTCCTCCACCAGCTGCTCCGAAGACCTTCCCATTAAGTCTACCACTCCCTCCACCGTCTCAGCCTCCTTATCTACCACATCCTCCAGAATCAGGCCTTCTCCATAATTAGCAAATACCCTCTTCAAATGCTTTAAATCATCTTCAATCATCTCGTGATCTGCCCTAGTGAAACATCTTGTGCTTCCACCAGCTATTAAAACCATAAGGTAGGCTTCGAAAGAAGCCTTCATCACTTCTTTGATTGCCAAAGGTTGAGCTCGCTCCGTGACGATAGCACTCAATAGAGTGAGGTTCTGCTTGAGAACTCTGAGAGCAGGACTGATTCGGGCATTCACTACATGACCTACATATAAGCTGCCATACAGAACTGAGTTTGAATCAAGGAATATAAGGCGGTAGGCTGCGACCTCAGCTACATGTTGAGTAGCAGCCATAATGGCAGATCGAGTTTGCTCGAAGTGGGGATGGCGGTGTCGGTGGTTTTGCTGCTGCTGCTGCTGGTGCTGGTGGGAAGCTGGAACAATTTTGTTAGAGGAAATGGAGAAACATTTGTCAAGGGTGTTGAGTTGGGATATAAGGTAGTGTAAGGTGTTGAGGCGGATGTAGAGACGTTGTGTTCCACGGCTGGTTGAAGGTCGTGGATGGTTGCCTTCTTCCTCCAATCCTAAATGATATGGACTCATCCCAGCTGCTACGGCACAAGGTGTCGCCTTTTTCCAGAGTTTCATGAATTTTGAGCCTCTGCTACATCGTGTTAGAGGAGGGAGTGTAGGAATGTAGTTCTGTTTCGAACCTGAATGATCAACAATCAAACAAAACATCCATATATATATATATATATGGTTAAAAATTGAATAACAGTCATCGACAAGTGTTGTAGCTAGGAATTGAGTATATACCACATGACGCAACAAAAGTAGTATAATGTCGCAAAATTTTCTCAATGCCGTCTGCAAATTCTTGAACCAAATCTTGAGAAATAGCAATGGGAATTTCAAAGAAGGAAACCAAAACATCTCTAGACTGCTTCATTAGCTCTACGGCTGATTGTGCGTAAGGTTCAGTTTTGGACTTGGGGTTCCATGTCTTCATAAACGAAAACAAAAATAATCATTTGATTAATTATACATGAAACAATGATTAATTAATGGTAGTAATGATTGGTTAATCGATCTTACTTCTGTTTCTTTAGCCCTCTGAAGCACATCTTTGACTTTCTTGAGCCTCCCGTTAATGGATTGTCTTAAAAACTTTAGAACGATGGAATCGACTTCGTAAGGATGCATCTCCCTGACGACAGTCTTTCCCCCATCCTCACATTCTACAGAATCTTCGACCACCAAGTTAACCAACGCCTTTTCAAGCTTGTCGGCCCTTTGCAAGACTGTGAGCATGTCGTGGGTAATGTCAGAGTTACATGCCAAGTATTGCTTCAACAACACCCCGTAGCATGAGTGCAGTGTCACTGCTGCAACTCCAGCTGATATTGGGTGCCATTTCTTCAACACCACACTGAAACTTTTTTTCTCTTTAAATGCCAATTCTTCTGTTTCGTCTGCCAATCCAACAAGCGTTTCCCTCACTTGATGCGATGGCGTCGACCGGCTTATTACATTTCTGTTTCCTACCATCTGTATAGTATATAAAAATGATTCATTATATATACCAGTAATTAATTATTATTCGATCAATTGTATGCATGTACGTATGTACCTTGGAGAATGCATTCTTTAAAGAGGATCTGGTATATTGGTCAACCTTGTTCCCTGCAGAATCTGAAGTTACAGCCGTTACATCTTCCAAGATTCTAGTGGCCGTGAAAAGCAGAGGAAGAATATGCTCCATCACGCCAATGTTGTCGGTACTAAAAGTTTGATGGTAATCCATCAGTTGCTTATCGCACCAAGTTGTGATTGAAGTTAAGACGGAAGACAATATCTGTACGTAGACAGGCTCTCTATCAACTTTCTTGGCATCGTTTGCCACTTCCGTCAACATGGTGAGGGAGGCACTAAGCAAATCATTCTCCGAATGTCCTGTCATTACGTATTGCTGGAAAAGTATCCAAGTGAAACACAAGTCGTGTATGGGTTTGTTGATCCCAAAAGTAGTCCATGTTTTCTTCATTAACTCCAGGAGCTCATCCACCTCATCAAGGATACATGGCTCGTCTTTTAAGTCAAAGATGGAATGGAGAAGGGCGACGTACAGGTTGACGTTGAAGGGGAAACCATCAGCCCAATGACAAGTATCGGCTGGGGAGCCATCAGCACTCCTCCATGCCAAGGAAACCACACAATTGCAAAGGGTCCTCATGGTCTCGGAGTTTTTGCCAATGTCGATGGGTTTAAGGTCACTAGTACGAATGATGTCTCGAAGATGCATAGCGAAGGTGTTTGATTTGTCCAAGGGGATGGAGGGGTGAAGGAGGAGTCCGGCCTCGAGGATATGAAGTTGACGTTTTTGCCAGACGTGATACTCATGGGCATCGTTGAATTCAGATGGCTTTAGATGCCGAATAAGTTCTAAGGGGAGGATGATAGTCTCTGCACGTCTCCCCATCTGATAGAGAAAAGATAATGAATGAATGCATGAATTAGCAGTAAATGTAGATGTACATGCACATGCATAAAGCTTACTTGGCCAACGAGTGTTCTCATAAGCGTCTTGCGAAGTCTGTTATCGCTTGCCTCGGAGACCTTCATCTGCTGTCTCATGATCTCTGCAGATGTGAATGGCCTCCTGGACCTGCTTCCTGGTACGGTGGAGAAGCCAATCCCGGAGGTGGAATTACCGGGAGATAAGGGATTGGAGCCACAGGAGTTGCTCCTCCGTGAAGAAGGAGAGCGGCGTAGCATCTTCAAGCCAAGGGCCCTCTTAATCTTGCTGGTTACTGCCATGCCTACGCCATGACCTGCTTTGGAGGGAGATCCTTGAGCAGCTTCGGCAGTGGTCTCGGAGGAGTAAAATTGAATGGCATTGCGACCTCCAAAACCAGGGGAGGACCTGCATGAGGTGAAGAAAATTTCATAAGCGGTCATGCGAATGTCATCAGGGTCAAGGGATTGGAGGGTTCCGAAAGGCCAAGAAAGGTGAAGGTGAAGGTGAAGGTGGTCTTCCATGGATAAATTGCCCGGGCGGAAGGGAAGGGAGGGGAAAAGACAGTCCGATATTGTCTGGAAAATCTAATCTCAATATTTCTTGAGACAACAAAATAGGAGGAGAGAAAAAGGCAGTTAAATTTGTTTGGACATGGTTTTTCACATCCCATCCGCCATCCTAAATTTTCTTTTATTGCTTTCCTCCCAAATTAATATACATACATATGATAATATATGCTATATATATATATGTATCTTATATACCGAATAAGATTCTCGGTCTTTGATATACTCATTTTATATATAAGATATATAATTCATCATCGAATAAACATTTGGTAAAGGTCCTTATCAAACAAAATTTAAAAAAAAAAAAAAGACTAAATTCTAATGGTAGTGGGTCACTCCTATTTTAAACTAAATATGCCTCTTAATTTTGATACCAACTATATATTAGATTATTTTTATTAAAATTTGACGTTTATTTAATAAAAAAATCTGTCGATAACTTTTCTTTGATTTTGAACAAACTATTCATGTTTTATAAGGTTTAAGATATATGATTTAAATTTTAGAGCAATACTTCATATTTTATATACAACTATCCATATCCATGTAGAGATTCTTGGAGTTGAAAATGGAATGGAGAAGAACAAATGAAGCTTGGACCAACTTCAAATTAAATTACCCATCATAACATAACATAACATAACAATACAACATTTGGCATCTGCTTCCATGATCCAACTTGTATACATACTATACATGTTTGTTGGAGCATTTCCAAATCTTTTTTTAAAATTTGGATATTTCCTCTTTTTTTCTTCTTTTTATTTTACTAGAAAACTTAATACAGTTATTAGAGTAAACTTGTTCCAAATTTCTAAAATATTATAATTGTTGCAAATGTTTTTAGTTTTTGTTTTCAATACTTTCTAAAAGCCAACAGTATTTAATGGTATCTATCTAAAGCACCACATTCAAACCAAACCAAACCACTCAACAAATTAATTTCATTTTTAACTTTTTGGGTTATCATCATATAATTACCGCTCACCTTATATACATATTGTTGTTTGAATAGTATATACTATTACTATTACTTGCAATTGTACATTTATGACTATTGCCACCTTCAATTGTACATTTGTGACTATTGTAACTTCAGTACGATATTAATTAATTAGCAAATTGATATCGAGTTATATATGATATATTACTTTGTATGTTAAAAGATGAGCAATAAGCATATACTCAAACAAGTAATTATGTAATCTCTAAGCATATATTACAATAAAATGGATCTAAGTTTTAGGAGTGGGATGTTAATTAAATATCCTAATCATAGATTTAAGTTTAGAAGATCAAACATGTATACAACCTATATATGTAGATGCATGAATTACAATAAGTGAATTGTAAGTTTTTTAAGACAATATATATATATATATATATATTGAAATAAAACATGATATGTATGTTTTTATAGGACATATCGATAAAAAGATGTGTGAATAGATCTTTCTTATAAATGTCATGTAATTAAGATGTAACAAGTAGCCTAAAAATTAGTTATGATTCTTAAATATGCCACAATATATTATTGGTTCTTATAATCTTAAATCCTGTAAAATAAAATATAATTGTTGTGGATATAAACCCTCTTTCCCAAACAACTTTTCTTGTATGGTGGGCATGAAAACCCATATTAGTCTTTCATAGACAATGATAACAACTAGAACTAAACTTAACACATGATGTATACCGAATATTTTCATTAATTAAACGTGTTACATATATAGCATAATGTATACGTAAAACATATAATTAAACCGGTCTTGAACATGCATGAATGATGTGTAATTGAAATACATATATATATATATATATATAGCTTGAAATGAAATAAATATAATGAAAGCTATATATATTATGTAAAAATGAAGAATTAGCAAGTACGTAGGGATGGGATATGGGGCCTGAAACATGTGGTGATTTGTAAGAAAAAGAACCATGGAAATTGAAGGGTGTGGAATGGACCACGTTCGTAGATGTTGACCCATCTAATTAATAAAGATGCTTCCTTCAATATTCTTAACTCATACTTAATTAATCACTCTATTTGCTATTTCAGTCGTAATTAATTAGTCTAATAAGGAATTATACAACATTTTTATTTCTACCCTACAAACAAACATACATATATATATATATATATATATATATATCTTCAATTTAGAGGAGAAGTACATGTATATGTATAAATGAATGATTCATGATTCATGATTGTGCATGCAATAATTCATGTCTACTTATTTTTTTAATTTCATATAGTTGATAATTAACTGCTACATGCATCTAAATTATAAATAAATTCAATATTAATTAAATAAAAAGGAAAGAATTGAAGATGAAGAAAGCATTTGGTCGTTTTCTTTGTCTCTGCCAACGGCAAGACTCTCAATTCATTGGTGTCAAATTTTGTCCAAATACTAATTTTATTTTATTTAAATAGATTTAATCTTAATTCTAAAAAAGGTTTTAAATAAAATAAAATAAAATGATATTGGAAATGGGTTTTGTTTGATCCAATTCCAATGTATATATATAATCAATCAGTGGAGGTTCCTTCTCTCCATGTAAATGTGGCCTATCCTCTGCCTGCATCTTTCTTTCTATTCATTATAAACCCACGGACCAAAAACTTTCCCTGTTCCCTGTTTGCTGTTTGCTGTTTGCTGTTCAAACCTCATTCCCATTCCCTCCTACGTACGTTTAAAAAGGTTTGAATTGGGCTCTTTCATATGTATGTATGTTCTTTTTCCTTTTCAATGCAGCTCATTACGTACTAATCGATATCATGTATAAGCTTGATTAAGATCGATCGAGATGAGAGTGGCAGTGGTGGGTGGCGGCATCAGCGGCCTCGTCTCGGCTTACGTATTGTCCAAAGGGGTGGAGGTGGTGTTGTATGAGAAGGAGGAGTACCTGGGCGGTCATGCCAAGACTGTCACCATGAACGGTGTTGATTTGGACCTCGGATTCATGGTCTTCAATCGAGTACTAATTCCATCCCTTTTTTTAATTTTAAATTCTATCCATCCACCAACACTGTAACTTAATTTCAGTTTTTCTTTATAAACACTGCATAAATTAATTTTGACAGTTTAAAAAATAAATATTTCCATCAATTATATATAAATTAATTCATATGATAAGTTTTAAGTTATATATAACCATCCAAGTTATTAAAAGTGTTGAGAGATTTTGACTGAAAATCATTACATTACTACGGCATCTTCATTTTTTGTCATCTTCTTCTTAGTAGATGCATAATTAAGCCTTATTCTTAACCCAAACCTTATCCAAAAGTGGCCTTTTACGGTTATAATAATGTCATGTTTTGTCTCTTAATTTTGTTTTGAATTGAATGAACCCCAAATGCCAACGCTCTCATTTGAAAAACCAAGATTTCACAACTCATGCTTGCTTAGGATTCTTTTCTTTTTCATCCATGTAACGAGATATTGTTTTCTTTTGTTTTCTTTTCTTTTCTTTTCTTTCCAAAAAGAGGACGATACTAAAAAAAAAAAACAGGTATATATGGTTTGATCTTTAGCCACAAGTGTAAGTGTAAGTGTAAGTGTAAGTGTAAGTGTAAGTGTAAGTGTAAGTGTGTGTGAATTTGCAGGTTACATATCCCAACATGATGGAGTTCTTTGAGATGTTGGGAGTTGATATTGAGATTTCTGATATGTCCTTCTCCGTGAGCTTAGATGATGGCAATGGGTGTGAGTGGGGCAGTCGAAATGGTTTATCAAGTTTGTTTGCACAAAAAAGGAATATACTAAATCCTTACTTTTGGCAGATGATTCGAGAAATCACCAAGTTTAAAGATGATGTTTTGAGGTAAGCTTGCATTTTTATTTATTTATTTATTTATTATTATTTAATCAAGTTATGTAAGCTTCTAAGAGTCAATAAACTTGCATAGGTACCTTGAAGAGGCTGAGCAAAACCAAGACATGAGTTACAATCAAACATTGGGAGAGTTCATCAAGTCACATGGTTACTCTGACTTGTTTCAGAAGGCTTATATTGTGAGAGAATTACAGCTTGGCCATTAAAAAACTTGTGTGCTACATTATTTGAATGTATGAATGATTGGCTGCAGGTTCCAATATGCTCCTCCATCTGGTCCTGCCCTGCACAAGGAGTTATGAGCTTCTCTGCTTTCTCTGTGCTTTCTTTTTGCCGCAATCACCATCTACTTCAGGTTCTTAATTACTCTCTTCTTCTGCTCCATTCCTCTCTCTCTCTCTCTCTCTCTCGTTAAACTCACTCGTTCCTTTTACTTTTCCATCAGCTTCTTGGTCGCCCCCAGTGGTTTACTGTCAAATGTCGTTCACAGACTTACGTTAAAAAGGTGATCATTCATTATTTTCTTGCTATATTTAATCATTTAGACCATCTTGATTGACTATATATATACTAAAATAAAAAGGTGAAAGAAGCACTGGAGAATAGAGGCTGCCAGATAAGAACAGGCTGCGTCGTTCAATCTGTCTCAAAACTCGATGATGGTAACCATAACTCAAGCTTTTATTACTTGTCGTTTTCATGTCCTAATATTAGAAATCATTTGAATCTCTTTTTATACTGATGTTGTGGAGTATGAGCAGATTGTGTAATAATCTGCAAAGATGGATCTGAAGAAAGGTATTCTGGATGCATAATAGCAACACATGCCCCAGATACTCTGAAGATGTTAGGAGAAGAAGCTACACACGACGAAAGAAGAATACTTGGCTCTTTTAATTACGTTTATAGGTATTTTTCTTGTTTCTATCTTCACAGCTTCCATTCCTTAGTATATGTATGTATGTATGTATGTATGTAGCTTATGCACTTTGGGGACCACCGATCCTGATGGAAACAATAAACCAGAAAAAGGAAGGTACAAGTTCACACAAATTGTAGGAAGTTGAGGAGATGAGATAATATGTTTTCATCAATATATAAACATCCTGCAAATAGGCCAAGTACATAAACCACGTTCAACAAATTCTTATGACTTGGTAACTGAAATCACTGTATTGAATTTCATCAACATAAAACAAAACCAAACGAATTTAGTAAATCCCATACAAAGTGAGGTAAAGAGGTTGGACATTAACCTCTGATTCATGAAAAAGTTTTGCGAAAGATAATTTTCAAGAGTTGGAGAAAAGCATGAAACAAACAAGCGGAGCAATAAGATTGAAACTTTTAACACATTTATAATTGTAACTTCCTTTCATTAAATTCACCAACACTTGCTTGTTATATACTGAGAAAACGATGAATGTGTTTTGGCAGTGATATTTTTCTACACCGTGACAAAAGTTTAATGCCCCAGAACCCATCCGCTTGGAGTTCATGGAACTTTCTTGGAACCGTGGATAATAGACCTTGCTTAACATATTGGTTAAATGTGCTTCAGGTTTGTATGATGCCTCATCTTAAACTAATTGATGGAGATGGATGGATGTTGCATAAAATTTAATGTGAAAATTAAATGAATGCAGAATATTGATGATCATAAGGGGCTACCTTTTTTGGTTACATTGAATCCACCCGGAACACCAGAAAAAATGTTGCTCAAGTGGACAACTGGTCATCCAGTCCCATCAGTCGCTGCAACGAAGGCTTCATTTGAGCTTCACCACATTCAAGGGAAAAGAGGAATCTGGTTTTGTGGAGCATACCAAGGTACGGTGCATACTTGTTTTCTCCGATTCATCTTCCACCTCCCACAATATTAGTACCCGCTCTACAATCGTCGGAGTGGTTAATAATGCACGTAAGTACATTCCAGCATCTAGCTCATACCAATTCTAATTTGTTTTTATAGGTTACGGGTTCCATGAGGATGGATTAAAGGTAACTGATTTCTTTGAACATGTAATAATCTCATTGGCTTTAAATTCACATTTTCTTTTTACAGGCTGGTATGCTTGCTGCAAGTGACATTCTTAATATAAGTTGCCAACTTCTGAATAATCCTACACATATGGTACCCTCTTTGATGGAAACTGGTGCACGCTTGTTTGTTGTTAGGTTCCTTCAAGATTATATTGTTATTGGCAGTTTGATGTGAGTGGTAACATTAATTATTCAAGTTCAATTCCCTCCCTAACTTCACTGCTGCTATTTCTCTTGTTTATAGGCATAAATGGAATCTTTTTGTTACAGTTTACTGGAAGAAGGAGGTACAATGTTCACCTTCGAGGGAACCAGAAAGAAGAGCCCTTTGAAAGTTTATTTGAAAGTTCACAATCCCCAATTTTATTGGAAGGTAATTCTATGTTCACAAATTAAACAACATGGTTTCTCCCTCGCAATCATCGCTAGCTAGTCTTAAAAGGTAAGGTTTGTGATGCAGATTGTTACACAAGCTGATTTAGGTCTCGCTGATGCCTACATCAATGGAGACTTCTCCTTTATTGATAAAAAGGAAGGCCTTTTAAATATGTTTATGGTAAATTTTTTAATGAATGGGTTTTTATTAGTTTACATCAATCTAAGTAGAAATTCCATAACCTTACCCTTTGCCCTTTTTCTTAGATTTTCATTTTTAACAGAGATGTACAAACTTGTGCCTCCACATCCACCAAAAGGTACATGCTCCTCCTCTCCTCTCCTCTCTTGCTTTCAACTCAGTATTAAGGTTTGTTGCACACTTTACTCATAGCAATGCACTTTTTAGAGGCTGGTGGACACCCATGTTTTTAACAGCTGCAGTGGCATCCGCCAAGTATTTCTGTCATCATCTTTCGAGGCAAAATTCTCTTACTCAAGCACGTAGGAACATATCTCGCCACTATGATCTGGTATTTGAATTTTTCTTTCCAGCTTGTCAATTCGATTTGATGCACCCCGTTGTTCTGGGGGGATCATACCAACAACCTTATCGTAATATATTTTATTTGATTTGTGTGCTTTTAGAGTAATGAACTCTTTGCCCTCTTCTTGGACGACACCATGACATACTCGTGCGCAATATTCAAGGTGAGGATTTCAGTTTTAAAATTTGATTTTACTATTCAAGTCTAACTAATTCTTCATGCAATAGAGTGAAAATGAAGACTTGAAATCAGCACAAATGAGAAAAATCACTTCATTGATTGAGAAGGTGAGTATTTGCATATGATGATATATAATGTCATTCTTTATGCAAATGGCATGCTGAAATGAGTATCCCATCTAGGCAAGAGTCGATAAAAACCATGAGGTTCTTGAGATAGGATGTGGTTGGGGAACGTTAGCTATTGAAATAGTGAAACGAACCGGATGCAAATACACTGGCATCACCTTATCTGAAGAGCAACTCAAATATGCAAAAACTAAGGTGAAGGAAGCTGGCCTACAGGACCATATCAGATTTCTTCTATGCGACTATAGGCAATTGCCTCATACTTACAAATATGATAGAATAATATCCTGGTGAGTATATCTGTCTCTAACTACAGACATTAATGGTATTGCTTAGATATGATGTAATCATGGACTACCATTTGCAGTGAAATGTTAGAAGCTGTTGGGCATGAGTACATGGAAGAGTTTTTTAGGTGTTGTGAATCAGTATTGGCGGATGATGGGCTTTTCGTGTTGCAGGTAACTTCTCTTCTATTGCTGAAAATATTAGTAATATAGGTTCCTTGAATAGAATAGTAGCTAACTTACGTGGTGGAATCATTAGTTCATATCAATCCCAGATGGGAGGTATGATGAATACAGGAGAAGCTCAGACTTTATAAAAGAATACATATTTCCTGGAGGGTGCTTGCCTTCACTTAGCAGAGTAACTTCAGCCATGGCTGCATCATCCAGGCTCTGGTGAGTAAAATTTTTCTTTTAAAGAAGTTTCCTTTGAAGTAACCCAAGAGAGATGATGATGATGATGGATAAAATGCAGTGTGGAACAAGTAGAAAACATAGGGATACATTATTACCAAACATTGAGATGTTGGAGGACAAACTTCATGGAAAAGCAAAGGTAAAAAAAGTAAAAAGGATTATCCTCCAATTTCCATAACATATCATGATTTATCCTTCTTTCTTTTCTGATAGCAATATCCTTGCTTTGGGGTTCAACCAAAAATTCATTCGTACATGGGAGTACTATTTTGATTATTGTGCTGCTGGTTTTAAGACCCACACCCTTGGAGATTATCAGGTATATTTCATTTCACACTAAACAATCTTGATTATTAGGCTGCTTCTGACCTTGCTTTGCTATCAATATTTGGGGTCTGATTGCAGGTTGTGTTCTCAAGACCTGGAAACATTGCTGCACTAGGAACAGAACCTATCACCCTCACCTCCGTTTTCTCTTTAAATTAAATGCATCAACATTTACTTGTATGTTGTCCTACTCATTGACTTCAACATATATCCAAATAAACAAAACAAACACACAACATTTTTATCATGCTTGTTATGTTGAACAAACACAGGCTATTTCTGTTTCATCTTTTGCTTCTTGTTTCTTTTTTGTAACTGGATAGATTTGATTACCTAACATAGCATAAGAAATGCATACAACCATTGAATACTAGTTTCATCTTCCTTCAGCAATCAAGTGAGAAACATAAACATCATACCAACCATACCAGCCCAGCCACCACCAAAATAAGTTTTACTCCAACCAACACCATTGTCACACACAAGGATCAATGGTTTAACTAAATCCCCAAGCTTCCTAAACCTGACACTATTGATTTTCGTTTCCACACTTGTATTTTTCCTAAATCAGAAAACTGTTATGTCTAAATAGTAAATTGAGAAATACCATATCAAAACTGTCACAGAAGAACAAGGCATCACAAAGGATGGACAACAGAGATTGAGGATCAACATATAAACATACTTGAATAAAATGCCAAGTAATATGAAATGCTGTTGAGCAGATGCAATGTTAAATCTTGAAAAACCCCCCAACTATTTAATGTTTTATCATACTCCCTAGCAAACCATGGGCAATATAAATCAAATTCCATCTACGATCTATAACTACAGATATTCTACTTGAAGGTACCAATAACTCTTTTACTAGTTGAATGAAATTTTTTTTAAATAGAAACTCTTTAACCATTCTTAGATTCACATACCACGAGCTATCAAGAAATGGAAACTCCATCCGTCCACAAACCGAATGAAGAATGCAAGTTGCCTGCATCCATGTAATGACCTCCAGCATAATTACTTTCAAGCTCCACTTTCAACTATCAAATCCTTGGATAAAGCTCGGCTTAGTCATGGGGTGATCACTTCACCTTAAAGTCGAGCATCTCTCCTCCTGTACAACACAAGGGCACAGGGGACAAATGATTATGCCATTGTCAAAGTTCAACTACCACTACCATTATCACTATCCACTGGAACTAATCAACTATTGTATCCTGAAGGTTTACTCCTACAAGCAACTTATTTACATCTTACTCCTATATAGTCATGAACAAGCTGTGATTAAAGACTACCAAAACCAAACAGCTTCACCTGCAAAAGGCTCACAAATTGCCACATCACAACAGATATCAGCACAGCAGTTGATATGTCAATATATGGAAATGATCTTAGAACACCATTATAGGGGGAACTCCATAACAAAATCTAGTACACACTATAAGCAAGCCAAACAGAAACCAAACTTAAGAAGCAAATGATTAAGCAACTCTACTCCTCAAAAATACTGCTTATTTAAAAAACCAGCAAAATAGATACTGCAAACTACTGAGAATCAAGCAAGCCAACCAGTCCTATTGTGGGCATGATTCCTGAAGGGCCATCATTTTGCACCCGCAACAGAATAATTGCTTTGCATGTCCATAGAACCTCCAAGATCAAAATCACTGTTGCTAAGCCTGCCGAGTTGGAGCACCTCCATAACCACCATAGCCACCTTGCCCACCATTTCCCTGAACACCATAGTTCCCAGAAGCTTGTGATGGATCAGCTCTCCACCCTGAATTCCCATAACCAGAATTTCCATTGGCATCACCATAACCACTTCCCATATAGCTTCCACCACCGGATTGCATATCTCCCCCTGGACCAACACCGGCAGTGGAATTACTATTTGGAGCACTACCAATACGGCCCCCAACAGCACCATATCCAGCAGGATTACCATAAGACCCGTCATTACCCCCATAACCACCACCATAACCGTAACCTTGATTCCCATACCCAGCAGCTCCACTTGGAGATTGACCTGTAGGTGCTGTTGCTTGTGAACCACCACCACCACCAGCAGCAACAGAAGCACCCCATGGAGCATTCCCATAAGCTCCAGCACCACCATATCCAGAAGAAGGCTGAGCATTCCATGAACTTCGTGCTGCACCAGATGGACCACTTGCGTAACCTGCACTTGGTACATTTGGATTTCCATATGGTGCACCAGCTGGACCACCATATCCTGGATTTCCACCACCATAGCTACCATAGCCATTGTAACCCATTCCATTGCTTCCAGGACCATAGCCATATCCAGGTGTGCCATACCCAGAAGAACCATAAGGAGGAAATCCTCCACCAGCATTTTGAGATTGCATGTACCTGTTAGAATCCATTCTACTCTCATAAGAACCTGAGTTGCCCCCAGATGCACCATAACCTTGATAATTTCCCCCACCGCCACTGGCACCACCACCCATGGAACGACCACCCCCACCACCACCAGGGTTGGCATCCTTGGGAAGAGCTCGCTTTACTTCTACTTGCTTACCATTCAAATCATGGAAAGTCTTGTGCAAAACCCTATCGACAGCGTCTTCAGAATCGAAAGAAATAAATCCAAATCCACGAGGCCTGTTAGTCTGCTGGTCATACATTACTACTATATCAGTTACCTGACCATATGCTTCAAAATACTGACGAAATCCATTTTCACTCAAAGTGGGTGGCAAGCCCCCAACAAAAATCTTCTTTGTCCTCATATTCCCACCACCTCCACCAAAACTTCTACCAGCACTGGCATTTCCAGCCTTTGATACCTGTTGTTCCTCTCTTGATAAGGCTCTCTTAGCCTCAACCTTTAAAAAAATATTAAAGTCAAAAGATGGACAAGGAGGAATGATAACAATTATGATAAGTTGATAACAAAAACAAAGCAAAGGCAGCAAGCAGAAAAAGAAGAAACATGCACACCATTACAAGATCTGTCATCATTTTAGTAGTATAATGTAGAACAATATCTCCAGTAGAAGTGTACAGTATATAGTAAGTGTGTTGATGAGTATGAACGTCTGGTACAGCTTAAGAAAAAACAAAAGTCGCTTTTAACACACATCTAAATTGGATGAATTTAAGGTGGATCATGGTTCATCAATTTAATTCAGAGCATAAGCTGAATCAAGCTCACATGTTTTCTCCTAGTGACTCCAAAATAGTGTAAGATAAAGACTCAGAAATAGGATCGCTTCAAACAAAAAAGATATATCTGTCAATATTCGAGTTGTGTAACATGATGTAAAAAAAGGAAATTGTCAACATATACACCACAAAGAAAATGTGTTAGAAGGACAAAACTACATAAATGAAGGCATAAAGTGGTTTTAAAGCTTAACACCTGCAATTACAAACACAATAGAGGGAGCCCAAGTAGGGGAAAACTGACAGACTGGACATAACTAAACATAGCAGAGGAGACCCCAACCCATGTCTTTACTCTTTAGAGACTCTAGGAAGTGAGGTTAACCATAGAAGGAGTTGTGTGGTATCCAACTCAGCTCAACTGTTTCTCTTAACTGTCTATGTATTCGACAACAATAACACCTTCCATCCCAAATTAATTAGGATAGGGTAAAATTGTACGCCACCAGAAAGCAGGAAAAAAAAACATAAAATTGAAACAATTTAGAGACATTTCGGTTGTTCAGATCTCTCATGACTATTAACCCCCTGTGTTTCATTTTTCTCGAAATGAAAAAACCACATCATGTGTTATGTTTTGATTCACCTTGAAGTAAAAACAGTTTGATACAGTTTAGAAAGATGTCTGACCTAGCGTAAATTAATGACCACTAGAAAAGTAGTGATAGCTGGTATTTTAGGGTTGAGGGTAAAACCTAGATAGATAGATAGTCGAGGGAAGTAAAGAAGAGAGATGTAATACCGTTCGGCCATCAATGGTGTGTTTTTCTTGAAGAACCGTGTCGAGTACGGAAGGATCTGCAAAGACGACGAAACCAAAACCACGGGGCCTGCCGGAGATTTTGTCTCTCATAACGACGGTCTGGAGAATCTCTCCATAATTACCAAAATAGTCCTTGAGCTTCTCTTCTGAAGTCTCCCATGAAATACCTCCGATGAATAGCTTGCCCTGATCTGAATCCATGGATTAATAATGTCTATGTGTATATGTGTATCTATGTATGTATGTAATATTCCCGTTGTTCCTACCTCTCTCAGAGAACACGAGAGAGAGAGAGAGAGAGAGAGAGAGAGAGGGGGTTTGTGGCGGAGGCGATGATGGGTCAACCTAACAAAGTGATTGGGAGTGGACGGTCTTAACCAACGGATCAGATTTGATCTCCTCGGTTCTTATTTTAACATTACTCTTGTTGATAGATATTTTCACGTCCGAATATACATATACATATACATATACAATTATATACATACACTCTCACTCCTCCACAGTCCACAGTACACTTACCACCTTCCATCTTCAAATTCAACCTTACTTCTTTTTTCTTTTCCTTTTTTTAATTATTCATTAACATACACCTTTCATCCTCTGATCTATTCATGCAACAAAAACAAGATACAAATAAGACATCGTCATACTTCCGTACGTCTCCCTGAGGCGAGGCTGACATAGACAGACGTATTTTTCCTAGTGAAGAAAATACATGATTCATAAGTATGGTGTTTTGGTAATAATAAATCACAGATGCAGATGTACATATACATATACATATACATATACATATACATATATTAAGAAAAGAGGTTGGAGTTTGAATATGCCACCAAAACAGAAAGAAGATTTACTACTGGCTATATAAGAATAAGAATACATCATATATATATATATATATGACCCAACAACAACAACAACACATCTTTCTTAAAGAGTATGTATAGATATCATCCCTAAAACTAGTCTTTGTGAGGAGACCAAGATTAGCCACCCATGTCTTGTCTCTTTGTCTCTCTGTCTGCCGTCTACTACCATACCATTACATTATGTTACATATGCAAGCATCTGAATCCTCTTCATCAATATCACTTGCTTCACTGCAATCAAAAATAAATATCAGATTTCATACAAATCATATACTACCTCTCCATAAATGACAGAAATATAGTATTTGCAGGTCGGACTCAAATTCATCTCCTCCTGCCTTTTCAATCAACATTAATTCAACGCACAGAACCAGTATTTGTAAAATTGATGATAACTCCACCTTCATTTTCATCAAGGTAAGCAAAAACACACGTCTCTCTTTAATGTCGGGCCCTGCTTATCCACCCTCTCCAACTCCCTTCTTCCGGTGCCTGCCACCCTAGGCCTACATCTCCAAAAACTCCTATCAAATGTCACTAAATTTATATAAACAAGTCTTATCTGTCTTGGATCAATACACACACCATCCTATCTCTCAAAATCTGCTTCACCTTCAATGCATTCTACCCATGTACTCAAAGTTCAAACCTAATGGACTATTTTGCTAACGACTTCATCCTCTAAGCTTGACTTACAATGCAAGCGAATGAGTATCTCCTCAGCTTAAATTACCACATACATATTCTCCTAGCCTGCAGAATTCCTATATGCATCTATGACATCTCTAGTTTCTTCTCCAATGAAAAGATCAAGTTCATCAGATTATTCTACAGAATAGGCCACCAGTTCTTTGAGGAAACTTACTAGCAATATAAACGTTTCTTTGAGGAAAAGATTTCAGTCTTGGTGTGTAAAAGCATAAGCTTCTTTTTGTTTTGATGTTAATGAGCTAAGTTTGACTTACATAAGAATTAATTTGTAATTGTATTTAGAAGTTGTTAAGAGAGTATAGAACCTGCTGAACTTTATGGTTTGATTTCAAGTTTCTGAGTGAATCTTGTAAAAACTGGAATCATTTCATATACAGAAGCTGTATAAAGCTTCTGTCTCTATTACCTTTAGAAAAAGGCAAATTTACGGCCATGTAGACAGCATAGCCTTCTATGGATTAATATAAGTGTAAGATTACAGAGTTTCTTGCATTGTAGAATCAAGCACAAAAAAGTGTGGCATAACCTTAAGGCAGAGATCAACAGTGACGGTTCCCCTTTGATTGAAAACGGAATTTTTTGGTTTTGGAAGTCAGACATTTGTATCTAACCTTTAATCTGTCTTGATGATTTAACAAAAGTGGTGATGTTTACCATTTCAATTTAATGATAGTTTAAACATTTTGATCTACAAAAGTGTGTAAGATTACGACAAGTACAGAACTATAATCATATTAAATAGGTAGTGGAAATTATGCAATACAATAAGAAAGTTAAGTTTATTGTGATGTAGGAAACCCCAGTTAGAGAATTTAAGGAGACTAGGTGTACAAAACACTCATTAGGTGAGTTCATGTACTATTTTCAAGTGGAGTGCATGCTACTTTGAAGAAAGATGTGTTGTGAAAACAAGTGTTTGTTTATGATGCAAGTTATCTTTCATGTTAAGAAAATGGCCTCAATAGAGCGCGCCCTGATAATTGTGTCGTTATGCCTGGGCTGTGAGGGCTCTCAGCCGGATCTAAGCATTGGCTAGGTAAGCGCCCTGTAGTAAGAGGAGTAGTTATGAATCCCGTAGACCATCCACATGTGGGTGGTGAAGGAAGGCTTATTCTCTTTCTGTCAAGCGAAGTTATATTTCTAACCCCTTGATAACTAATAATCAAGCAAGACACAAACTGCCCAATAAAAATATAATAAAAGAAATGACAACCCAATAATTTATGTGAAAAACTCAAAGAATTGGAGAAGTGTGGGACTCCAGAGAGAGAAAAAATGCTATGTGAAAAATTATTACAATCACACAAAATAATCTCTCAAGCCACCTCCATTTACACCCATATTCTCCAAAGTTGATTTTATAATGAAGGGCTTTTGAAGTGTTCAGATAATTATTGACAAGTGTCCTATGAAAAGTTCAATTAACGCACATGCAAAAGTCATAAACTTACCAACCACTAGCTTACCATAAGTAACACATGCATTTCAGGACAGTCAGAGGTCAAGCAGGGCCTAAGGGAACGGAGAAGATTTATTATCGAGCTTCTACGGTCTGGTTTATGCATGATTATCTGTGACCCAAGCGAAGCCATGATAGCTGTGGTGGTTAGTAGAAATCACAGTAAATTATAATTTTGATTACATATGGTGTTGTATCAAAGAAGGTATAGGAAGTGTAGGTTGACCAGGATATGATTATTTAACCCGATGTGGTTCTGTTCGGCCCTTCCTCTGAACCAAGAGGAGAAGACAATGTCATGGCCTGTGAATTATAGATGCCAGATATTGTAAGTTCAAATTCTGAACCAGGAAGTTTGATGTAAATCGGGGTTTTAGCCTGGCAGTATGGCCAGGATGCTTCATTATTCAAAGACTTTAGTTACAGAAATTATAACTTAACCAGTAAATTAGCCGTTAACTTTTGTAAGTTTTTATTTTGCGTAAGATTCATGAACATAATCACTCTGATGAGTAGTCCATATGGAGAGAACTAGTCTCCAAAAACAATGACAAAGAACACAGTTCTGACGAATGCCTACAACTGTCAACAATAAAACAATAAGCTGAACATGAACTGAACATATTACTTGAAGTTCGAGTGAAGACTTCCTAGCATCCATTCTTTAGAACCCATTTTGTAGATGCATTCAATTTACAGGTGCAACCAAATCATATCGGGTTAGTTAAAAAAACAGGATAATCTTTACGCAGACATAATGAAAAATTTGTTACAACTTACACGATCATGGTTAACAACATAAAGAACATATTACTAAAGAGTAAATCCATTTTCGATTACGATGGAAGTGTATAAAAACAACTTCTATATAACCAAAAGATGACACAGTGACAAAATACTTGGCCTAAACTAAAAGTGTTTTGGTGCAATGAATCTTGGACTACCTGGTGGCTGTTGCGCCCCACAAACCGCAATGACATTGATATGCTTGTGTCTGAATTCCATCAAATGAAGAAAATATCAAAGTCCATAACCACACAATATCACACTTGTACCAACCTGTGTGTTAATTTGTGGCACAGCCCCATCAGTCGTTTTTTGCAGTAATCTAGTTGGTGTTTCCTTCATCCTATGACAGTCATGAGAATTGAACAGTTCCTTGTAGTAGACTTGTAACCAAACTTTTTCTCCCATGGCATGGTTACAAAACTCATCCACAAAGACTTGCTTTAATTTGAATAGAATGAATTATCGGCAAATGATATCTCACTATTTGGTCATGATAGTCATTTGACCGAGTATGTGACTCTTCTATTATTATGCATTTAACTTCGGAGTCGATGGTAAGTACTTGTCTTAGTCAATGAAGAACGCCTTTGCAAAAAAAAAAAAAAAAAAAAAGTGATCTAGGTTCAAAAGCTAAACAAGTTCAAGAGTAAATCTTCTATCCATTCATTTTAGAAATTATTGAAAGTTAAGAAGCATCCTATTCTTTTCTAAATCGGTTCACAGAAACATGGCAATAACAACATAATAAGATTAAATGAAACAATTGAAAAGGCACAAAAAGATATAAGGAAACTCGAAAAGAGATTACAGGGGTATGTGTACACATTACCTTGGCTGATACTCCAGAACCTCAGTGAGCTTATCTCCATTGTCATCATTCCACTGTACTTTCTGCTTCTTGCCTGAATTGGTAGATAATCCGCCTTTCTTTGGCAATAACAGTTTCTCCGACTCATCTACAATCTCCTCATCTATCAAATCTTTTTCCTGATTCCCATTCACCAGGAGCTTGGATTTAATCTCGTCTTTATCCTTTGACATAATCACTATCATGAAGGAAGGCACATATACAGACGAATGAAGCTTCACCGATGAAATTCCAAAAGGATAGCTGACAAGTGACTCATTATCAGTGGATCCTCCAAATCCCGATCTCTCAAATCAAGAATTCAGGAATTTCAACCCCTAAACTTGAGTTCATATATTGGAATCAAGTCAACGCCCATTTCTCAAGAAAACCCTAAAAACATCTGGTTTAGTTGGAATCAAAGTGTGAAAAAAGAAAAAGACAAACCTAAAAATGTGAATACAGAGAAATCCCTCTTACCAATCACAAGAGACGATGAAGAAATACTGGAAATTTCACAGCTTTGTTCACTCCAAGCAAAAAGAGAGTCTGAAGATGAAAGTTTATGCGGAAAAAGTGGGTATTTGTAATTGCGAAAGAGAGTGGAAAGGGTAGAGGTGAGGAAGTGGAGAGAGAAGTGCGTCTACTTTAATTGTTTGTTGGTGACAGATACAGATACAGAACAGATACAGATACAGATAGAGAGTAGAGGCAGAGGTAGAGGTGTGTAAAGAAAGAATCAAGTTCGTTAATCTCGTTATCATCTTGTATTTTTCCTATTCTATTGATATAAATATAAATATTACCCTGTCAACAGATTTTTTTCTTAAAGAAAAGGCTGATTTTATAGTTATACTCACCACCCTCTTTCCCTTCTTTCTAGTAGTCCTTGTGTTAAGTGATAGTTGCATCTCTTATTGCTTGAGGATGATATACAATCAAACACATTTTACTATCATTGATTATAACAGTTGAACGTCTTATTAATGCTTAATTATAAATCATAAGAAAAACACAACCCATGTTTGTTTCATTTCATATGAAGTAGTAGTTCAAATCTCAATAGCTTACATATGATTGATTATAGCAACCTAAAGCTAGAAACATAAAATCACCACCAACTAATATTATCATCAACCTATAATCAATTTCTTTTTATTTATTTAAGTATATATATATATATATATATACACACACACACACATATTTTGTGTGTGTGTGTGTGTGTGTGTTTTGCATCACAAATTCTACTTCCTATCATTGATCTCTGATGATAAACATTAAAAAAACATGATTTTGTACAAGTCTTGTCAATTTAAGAAAAAAACCAAAATCACATCATATATCCCCCCACAACCCACATTGTCCAAATATGTCTGATTCAAACAAACTAAAAATATCAATTACAACGATAACGGGCTGGATTAGTCCCTTGTCATCTTATATTACATTCTCTTGTCAATCTGGTAATTAACCAAGGCCGCCAATCATTGCCTACGCTACTGCCATGTGGTCACCATCACCTCACCTCCATGGACAGACACTTGGCCTGCAATCAAGGAGATTCTGTAAAAACCAAAGCAGTAAACAGAAGGTCATAGCTATATTCAATATTTTGGGTCTCTACTAAATCTACATATGAATTATGTTCAGAAATGTTGCACAGCCATGGCTTCCATCTCAACATTTACTCTTCTTGCTTTTCCAGAACTAGTAGAAAACCACCATTACAACTTGTAAGTAAATATTTATTGGATACAAGAAAAAATGGTGTTAATTTTGGAACTAATTCATGCAGATTTTTGGTTTGATGTTTTGGAACTTGCAAGACAGATCCATCTATGTTCTGCTGCCCACTCTTTTCTGAGTACTCATCTCATATCATATGGTATCAACTCAAACACAAATTAAATATTTAATATTTTTTTCAATCTACATTCATACCTTAATAAAAGAGGCATCTTAGCAACAAAAGTGTTAAATCTTTCAACTTTCTTCTATCTGTTTCAGATTCTCATGAGTTTAAACAAGATTATCCATTAGCCACTTGTTTACAACAACTATATTTAATCTTGTAGAAAATAGGCACTGATGCATGCAAGCAAAGACAGGATTACCGTATTGACATTGAGAATCAAAGGTATACCTGCAAATCTTACATAATCGAGATTGAGGACAACATTCCCTTTTTACATCCTCTACTGGAACACATGCACAAAGCAACCAACAAATTAGTAAAAGAGTTCAATGATATTTTCTTTATTTTCTGCAACCAGTGAAAGCAGGTAATGGACAAGAGAAAGAGACCACAAGAAACACAATCATATTGATTTTCAGATATGTATGCTGTAGTGTGTGTGCGCATATATATATATATATATATATATAGAGAGAGAGAGAGAGAGAGAGTTGGGATCAAATGAGGACAAGGTCAAAGAAAGAAAACACAAATAGTGTAAAATCAAATGTGATATAGGTGTTTTCGTGTTTTCTTATTTGAACCCTGTTCTCGCTTGAACCTCCTTTTATGTGTGTATGTGTAATCTAAATGCCAAACAAAATGTTAATCAAGAATTAGAGTAAGTACCTCAGTGCTATATTGGAGTGTCTAAGCTGCAAGATGACTCCAGAACTCTAGAATATGAAGTTCCCACTCAAGCATAACTTAAATTTCTGCTATTTACCAACCGTTCCCCCTGGACTTCACTTCTTCAAACATATATGTATTTCATAATTCATGTGTTTAACCCCCATTATTTTCTATTTCACAATCAGTATAAGAGGTCAGGTCATGGCCCTCCATGCTGTATATCTATCAAAACCAGCATGCACATGGATGCTGATTACCACTGCCTGCTCATGAACTTCATATATAATTAAGCTGGTAAAACTAATGGTGCTTTTGATGGCCCTCAATAATTACTATGCACTATCAATGAAGACAACACACAAAGTATRTCATCATCTTCAATTATTGCATCTCTAGTTGTACAGAGTTGAGATAGAAGGCATAGGTAGATATCCTTTTTTCTCTCGAGMAATTAAGCATGAAGTTAGCTAACTATAATCCTGTCCTTTTTCAAAGAAACAACCCATTATTGCAATACTTGGTTTTTATGTAAAAATGATGGGTAAAAATGAAAGTGCCTTTCCAGGAACCAAAAAATGATCAGTCAATCTGATGAAACCGCATTTCATTGATTTCATAGTGAAGAATTTACAACATAAAAAGGTACATGTAGAACATGCTTACATCTTGGAAAGTTAAGATGTGAGGGCTACTTCACAGAATCCTTTTTGTAAGCAATGATCTGGAGAAGGCATCAAGTGGTTTAACATTGAACCATAACCTTGATTTTGAACATGGAGGTGTGATCAACAATTTATCTCCCTATGGTATCACTTTCTTAACCATGGAACCATATTGCAGGACAGCTCTAAACACGGGAAGAGTAGTTTACYAGCCACTATAAAAGTAACACCCTGCTGCTATATACACCCTGCTTGGTGAAACAAAAAGATCCAAATGAAGGAGCCTTCATATCCATGTGAAAACTATTTTATCAGCATGAAATGCACAATCATGTAATATAGAAGTTGAATGTTAGTTATGTTAACACTACTTAAATCCCTTTTCAAACACCTGACAGATAACGCTAGATGATAAGAAAGCTCGAACATTTTCTCCTTTTCAAACACCTGTAAACAGTACCTCCATACGAATCAATGAAGGCTAATTTTCTTCTCATGCCACAAGTGCTCAGACATAATAAGATTTCATCCGTAATTCCATATCCTGCCCAGAGGATTGATCCATGCACAACTACATTTCCAAGGGACGTGGATATGATTATGATTAAGGCACCAATTGTTGACAAGTTTCAGCAACCTTTGCGTACATATATACACAAACCCATTATGATTCAAATGCAAGTGTTTCACGAAGTTGCATCCTCAGGATCACCCAGGCATAATTTAGTTACACTACAAATAAGCTAACAAACATACAATTGAAGCTTGGCACATGACACACTACTTAGATGAGCTTTGATAAACCTTTACAGTATTAATTTGATCATCAAAATGACATTTGTTACAAGGGAAGAGAAAAAAAAAAGCATGAAGCAACTGCTAATAATTGTGTATAAGGAAGACCAAAACAAAATCTTGTATGCTTCCCACAGATACAGGAGCCAGAAGGAAAAATAGGAAATATATCTACCTACCTATCAACTGATTAAAAGATTGTTAGAAAGTAACATTAACATTTCAGCCCAGATTGCTCTTTATACCGCAAGACACTCATTCCATCTCAAGTGGAGGAAGGGGGTGCATCAGCATCCGGTCAGAGTCAAGTTGAGCCATCATCGGAGGATCACTTGACCTCACCTTCTTACGGCTCAATAATCCCAATAGTACAAAGCACACTATCAATACCATAATTGCATGCCCAACAAACAACAAATTCATTAATGCCATACCCCTCAATTTGTCTTCCTCGAGATCACATTTGACATCAGTATTACCTTGAGCAGGAGCAATCACCACTTTACCACAGCCCTTAAATGCAAAAGCATCTGTATACAGCGACAATCCAACTTGCAAAACCCAAGTACCCTTCAAAACAAGCCCAGAAGACAAGAAAAAATCTGCAAAGTATGCAGATGGCCTAATCGAAAGAAAGAAACAAGCTGCAGCACAAACAAGTGACAACCCACCTAACAAACTATACTCAAGTTCACCAAGGCCAACAATGCCTTTCCCATTCATTAGATACTCAATAAGAAATGCAACCCCGGCGAAAACGAAAATGAAATGCTCAGGCATTGCAATGGGGTCAAGAAATTCTTTGATTGCAATAAAAATGAAAAGTACCCAGAAGAGGAAAACTACTACAGATTGCTGCAAGAAAGAGAATTTGTAAGTTGGGTGGCCTGAAAATGCGAGAAACAAGAAAAAATGGGCGAAGGAAGCAATGGGGAGGGCAAGAAGGAAGACAAAAAAGTCAACGTTTTTCCAAGTGGGGCTTGAGAAGTACCATGTTCTGGATCGGTAGAGCGATGGATTGTTGAGGTAGATAGAAAAAGAAGATACAAGGCGGTGGATGCCAAGAGGGAAGAGGAAGAGGAATGACGTGAAATGGGTTCCTAATGACGCCATGTATGTATATATCTTAGGATTTATGGGGACGTCTGTCCTCTGTTTCTTGGATGTTAAAACGATTGATATTGAAATTGATGATAGATTTTACAAGGCAATTTGCTTACCTTTGGAAGAAAGAGCTAGTTTGCACAAGGTGTATCTTGATTGATCTGGCCGGCGTGCGGGCGTGCGTGCGTGCGTGCGTTTCTTGAAAATTTGAGGAGGTGGACTTGGTTGAAACTGCTCTTAAAAATAACCCTAGCTTTTTCTGCCCTTTCCGATTCCTAAACAAATAATTTATTGATAACATTTTTGTGATTTTTTAAAAACCAAATTTAAATAAAAATTAACACCAGAATATGAAGACGAGTGTGGAAGCTGTTTATAAAGTCCATTAATATGACGTTTGGATTGGAGGTAGTGGCAATGGCAAGCAGAAAATGAAAATGAAAATGCATTATTTATTTATTTATTTATTTATTTCTCAAATAATATTCCCATTGAAATTAGTCGTGCAGAGAAATTTGTAAGCCACCAAAGTATATGTGGCTCTCGCAGATCCTGGTATGTACACACCAATCAATCACCTACATGCTTTTAAACTGATTCAAGAAACCAATAACATCTCATCCTTCCTAGGCTTCAATGGCAACTTCATCAATCACTGCAACTGCCTTTTATTCTTCTTTCCATGGAAGTTGGGGAAACTCCATAGCTGGTGAAGATTATCCCACCATGCTGGCAAAGACTACCACTACCTGGGTTCGAGTAGGAAACCCGTTAAGATTCGGCCCAATGATGGGAAACGTGAACGAAGGAAAAGGACTATTCGCTCGAGTAGTCGTCGTCACTCGTAACATCGTTGGGAAGAAGCGCTTCAACCAGCTTAGAGGAAAAGCAATTGCTCTACACTCACAGGTAAACTATATGCATACACATATGTCTACTATATGACTGTGCAATCAGGACTTTGTCATTGACTGTATTGTAGGCAGACACACTTCAATTCCGGGTGTTTTTCAGGTAATCACAGAGTTCTGTAAGTCCATAGGGGCAGATTCAAAGCAACGGCAAGGGCTCATTCGTCTGGCAAAAAAGAATGGAGAAAGACTTGGATTCTTAGCTTGATAACACAACAAGACATTTTGAATTCTAGTTTGTATCGACATCAATACTATTCTTTCTCAATATAAAAGAAATTTATGTCACTTCAGCTCTATTATATTTTTCACACATTCTTAAGAGGTTTCCGAAAAAACCTGCTAGCGGAGGAAGTCCTCCTAGGGATAAGAGAAAAGGGCTAAAGAGAGCCAAAAGAGAATCTTGTGTCTCAGTTTCTATGCTACATCATAAACCGATGCTGGATTGTGGCTACTAAGATAGATGTACACAAGAACATGGAGAAAATAACCAAAAGAACTGACCCCCTTTAAACCATTTGCATTACTCAAAACCATCCTCTTTTGATCACTAAAAAGACAGTGATAAATCATCGGATTCATCATGCTCATATTTGCACTCCATTGCAGCAACTACCATAAGCATAAGATCACACAGCAAGGGAACTTTCCCAACTGAAAATATCAAGGTACTCAGAAATGGATAAATGCCTCAATGGAATTAACAACAGTATCTCAAAATTTACTAAAGTGAAAATAAAACATGATTGTATAACTTCGGATTGAGCATGTAAGAGGTCAGCATAATGCCACTTGGTTTGCAGCAAGTCTGCAAATCCTTTGCTCATCTGGGGGTAGGATATCTTCAGCATAACTTTATACGTTATATCGACCTTTTGATGTTCTCGTCTTAGAATCATCCTGCACCACAGGAGGGGTTCAGATATACAAGGCCAGAATTGATTCAAACAAATATACAAATAAAATATGCTCCCACCATAAAAGCGGGAGAAAGATTTTTCAAAAACTGAAGATAGTGAGTAGATAATGATATTTACATGGAAGCTGTAGATGATCTTGTCTGTCACATCTATAATTTCCTTCCACTTTCTTCCAATGCTCATCTACAAATCATGAAGCAAAATATTTATGCTGAGCTTTTAAAATAAGCATATGCATTGTCAAAAATGAAAGGCTTCATATAAGAAGAGATCCAACATGATTAAAAGACGGTGACACGATATGAATACAGGTTCTTCCATTGCAAGCACACTCATTTGTATGAAACCCCAACATTAGGTGGGAAACCCATGGACAATTCACGTCAAGTATGTCAAAGAGTTTTGTTTAGAATGCACAAGCACCACATGCAGCATAAGGAAGCAAATCATATAACTTGACACAGAATAATTCTAGTCAAGCTTAACTTTCAGTTAAAAGGGTTGCTTTATTTGAAGGCGAAGAAATAGGGCACACTCCACATTGCAGCCTGAACATCATGGTTCCTCCAAATCCAACACCTATACCCACTTCCTTCATTAACCAAAATAAGTATGGATTCTACCTTGAACAGACAAGGGTACTGGATGCGATAATATATAAACCCTAAAATTATGCTTGTGATTCTACCAGAGGGTCATTGCCCCAGCAGTACTCAGGTTACCCATAGATCCCAACCTCCTAGAAGTTTTTAAGGGTCCAAGTCTGATCAAAGGTGAGGAGTGGGCGTGAGATTTGCCATATATAACTATTATAGACTTCAACCTTAATGGAATACGTATGACCGAAAGAAAACATAAGGGTGCTTGAACTCCGAGAGATTGTATGAATCCACTTAATCATCAATGCACATGGTAGACATCCCCAAACTCTATAACTCGTCACAAGTTCACAACTAACAATTTATCTATGTTAGTTTTATTAATGAAAATCAAACCAAAAATACACCCATCAAAGCTTCATTGTCGTTCTCTCAGATAACGCTACACCCATCAAAGCTTCATTGTCGTTCTCTCGGACACGTTATCTGAAGTTTTGAACAACCATACATGATATGGTTATATGGAAGAATTGATGAGAAAGCTGGTGGAGACAATTCAGCCAGAGAGAAAACAGATTAAGAGTGATTTCTTGTGTCAAACTGTAAAATGAATGTGCCAAAACCCATATGGAGCCCTCACCCTCATGTCGCACAGGTTATCCATAAACTAATCATTGTTTCTAGACAAAGATGAATATTATACACTCCCACCTTGGTACTCAAAAATAAGGTATCCTGAGTGGTTTAAAATGAAGAATAAAGTCATTACCTGAGCAGCCTCATTAGCTGCATTTTTTGTCCATAGTGAAAGTTTGTCCTGTCTTTGACGCACACTAGCAACGACACCACATATCTCATCAGCCTCATCAAATTGCTCTCCGATTAAGGCCATCAACTGCCAAGGAAATATATTTAATTGCTTACACAATGAATCCACACATATAAGGATAAGGGTATAAAGCAAGAAGGAGAAAGATACTTACTGTTTCAAGCCACATAGTTTCAAGGATAGGCTTTCTGCTACTTGTAACTGTCCACCTGCCCCCACTAGCACACTCTGGATCTTCCCATTTAGGCTCAATCCCAGCTTTGAACAAATGAAAATCAGCATTTGCTGGTAACTTGCTCGGCTTGAACACCTGATCATACAAACTGCAAGAAGATAGGAAATCAATCTTAAAATCCAGTTTTCCAGATGTTTTAGGCATAAATGAGTTTGCTTTGATCGGCTTCATGTTCAACTATAAGGACATAAATACAAGCCTGCCAGCCCAATCAGGTATGCCCCTTTAACCACTTGAACAATAGAAAAGTTAACATAAGTACATTCTGTCATGCCCAAGTAAGTTTATGAAGTCTAAAGAGTTCCCATTTATAATCAGGTAAAGGTAGGTCACATGCTAAGTAGGCTGATAAGACCTGGGCAGTGTTTCAGAAGATGGAATTCAAAGTCGGGAGTTGGAACTAGGGAAAACTTAGTTGTGCAGGATGCGTTAATTAGAATTTTATGCAACAGAAGAAAAGATAGAGTAAAGCAGTTAAGTTTGTTGGAGATTTGTGGGAATCTCAACCAACCCTCTCGCTTTGGATGAAGGCACGGGTCGTCTAACAAGGCATTAAACCTGGTCTAATGATCTATGTTATAAGCCTACTTAGGTATTGAGTATTTATTATTTGTAAGAACTGGATATATCTATTTATGATACCTGACGAAATCAGATCATCCAGCACCATAAAAGAAAAAGGCAAACATAGCAATTAGTAATCCAAAAATATTAAAACTTCATATAGAAAACAGATGAAATAGGAATCTTACATACTGCATTTCGAAAAGAAAAGAAGGGGATGCGAAATAGTGATTAGGGTTTACCACCAAAACTCTTGGACAGTTTCGAATGTGTAGCCGTTACGAAGGTTGTTATCCCAAGCAGCGCCTTGTTTAGGCTTTGATTGATTATCGAACCAAAAGGTCCATTTCCTCTCTAGTTTGTGGGACTGTTTCTCTGTGATCTCCACAGCCGCTCCGTCAGTGGCCATTCTTTTCCCTCCACCGACCAAAGAAAGAGATCTCAGATCGAATCGAAGGCTTCAGCTTGAGCAAACCAATTATACGTATATATATATTGTCTCCCTTCGGCCCAATTAGGTTTCTCAAGTAACTACAACCCTCAGTGATTAATTGGGAAATTTGGGCATTAATTAAAAAATATATGCTTACTTTTTTTTTTTTATTACAAAAAATATGTAATAAGATGGTTGCTTCATAAACTCATAACTGTTTTATCAATGATAAGATGACGGTAATGAATAAAAGCATCTATCTCTTGTTTTGATTCTATCTTCGGGCATGCTTAATGCTTTTATGAAACCGTAATTTCTCTATTTACTAATATTTTGGTATATTATATATATAATAGAAATGTTAGTTTATTATATAATAAGTTAATGCTAATTATTGTTGTTGTTGTTGTAGATACTAGAAACAAAATTGGTAATAATATTAATTAAAAAATGAATTTATTTACTGAATCCAAACATTATATTGAAAAGAAAAACAGTAAGGAATGTCCTTTAAGCCATCTTGATCTTGTCTACAATGAATTAGAACCAAGTAACCTTGAGAATGAATGCCATTTATATAGGCATTAACGAAATGGTCAATCACATGGGTATTTTAAAGCATCACATCCTGCTTCGGTGGCAACATTTTTCATGTTCAATACAACATAAAATACCCAAAAATTGAAATAAAAAGAAAATCCAACCATAATAATCATAGCAAGCTGGAGACACGTCATTATGATACTGTCAAATTGGAACCTATCCAAAGAAACCCCTTTTCAATCGTCGTGCTTTCCATAAATCTCATTAATAACAAGTAGTTGCCGGCATATAATGCAATGTAATGACCAACTTCCTTTTTCTATCAAATGGGTTTTTGGGTATATGACTGCAACAAAGACTCGGATTAAAATCGTTAACAAGATGAAATCATTCAAAAATAAAGAACAAACTCAAGACAGAATGTCACATACAATACAACAAAAGCCAAAACTACCAGGTGTATAAACAGATCCATAATTCATTCCTGTAGTGAGTCTGCCCCATGAGTTACAAAGTTTGTAGCAAAGGAAAAACAACTTAGACAATAGCATTTGCTGCGCTTGCTATTCTTGGCCAAAGATCAGCACATTCCTTCCCAATTGGTCCAGTGATGGCAGAACCTTTCATTTCTCCTTTTGGATTGACAATAACACCAGCATTATCTGTCAAACAAATAAAAGGAATATTTTAAAATCACCACTCACCAAGATTTCGCTTTGGAAATAGAATATGAATTTTAGGCAACAATAAAGACTCCAAGCAAAAGCAAATGTAGGAACCAGATGTAGCAGCTGCAAGCTTAAAAAAGAACCACAACTGTAACGATTGATTACAAGTTGATTTTCCAGACTTGTAACAGTATCAACCAATGAACATGAAAAGATACTTGACTAGTCTGGTTACATTCCCATCAAACAATAAAATTGCTGTAAGACAAGCCATAATTGTAACATCACTTGCTATACTACCTGCTAAAAAGTTGATGCAAAATAACTCCAGAATTTCAAATAATATGATATATAGATACATGGTTTACCTACAGCCTATATGAACCAGATATAAGGCTTTTGGAAGCAGAACATCAATAGACTGGATTTATTATCCAGATTGTAACAGCATCAAACAGTGAAGATGCATAACATGCAATAAGAAATCCCTAATCACCATGAAGAATCATTTAACAAAAATCAATGTCTCAATGCAACCTAAAAAACAAAAAGAAAATTACCAACATTTTCATTTATGTCAAGTCTACATGGAGCAGATGAGTGCTGGAGAGACACAAGCATATCTGTAACGATAGATTTGGTTTATTTTCCAGACGTGTAACAGTATCAAACAATGAGAATGGGAAGATACTTGACTAGTCTGGTTAATTTTCTCTTTTGAAAAATGAAAATACTGATGTAAAAATGCTTGTGAAGATGCATTTAACTGAATCCCTTGATGTGCATTCAACCCAAATAAACTGAAAAAAACAACTGTAAAAGAAGAACGGATCATGCCTACCCTAAATGAAGTAGATATGCGCTTCAAAAGCTTAAACACAGCAACTGTGCCAACCATGATATATAAGAAGATACCCAACTTAAATCTAGCTTTTAAAACGTGAACAATCCCACCAGATCAACAAAATAAAAGCCACATTAGCCATTCCCAAAGGCAAAAAAATGATTAAAAATGGTTTTTGTCAACTTATATAAAGCAATTGTGAGCATGATAAACATAAATACACAAGACTGCCTTTAACACACAAAAAACTTGTTGTATTTTCACATTATCTTAAAAGAAGACAGGCATGTGCCAACCCTGACAGGGGTTACATAGAGATATGTCACCCAAGAGGCCAAAGATTGGAAACACACTTTAGCTGGGTATGGGACGTGTAGAGGAACTTGAAAGAAAAATCCTCCACACCACATCCCCAGCAAAACCGTCAACATTATATATGCAAAATCAGGAACTTGAACTTAAGACAACACTGAACAGCAAAAGCATGGATATGCAAAGAAGAATATTATACATCTTAAATAATATTCATGAGACATGATTAATACTACTACATTCATCGTCACATAGGCATGATAAAAAGAAAGACACAAAAGAGCATCAATAATAGAAGCAGAGGTTGAATAAGATGATGAGTATAACCTTCAAAGTACATGAAGACGCCATCCTTTCGGCGCCATGGCTTGCGTTGTCTGACAATGACAGCAGGCATGACTTTCTTACGAAGATCAGGCTTCCCTTTCTTGACAGTAGCCATCACCATATCACCAACACACGCTGAGGGCAACCTGTTCAAACGACCCTTAATCCCCTTCACGGATATAATGTAAAGGTTCTTGGCCCCTGTGTTATCTGCACAATTGACCGTCGCGGCCACTGGCAGACCCAGTGACATTCGAAATTTGTTACCCGCGGAACCTCCACGTCCTGCATAAAGTAGAAGAAAACCCTTGTTTATTTGTGAAGAGATAGAGGAAAAATGAAGTGAGATTTTTATTTGATTACTACTACTGTTGACTGCTGAGACTGACCTCGCTTCGACATCTTTGTGAATTAGGGTTTAATGATGGAGGGCGAGGGTGCGTATTTGTAGCAGTAGCTACTAGCTAGGGTTTGTATTGTAAATTGTAATTGTAATTGTAATCGTAATCGTAGAATGTAGAAGCAAGATTGGGCCAGGAAAGTTATGGGCTCAACTCGTGTATAACTTTTTAATTCAACCCACTTAAATTAATCTATACTATATTATAAAGCATTTGACTAAAACTCTTAAACTCTTAAAACTCTTAAACTCTTAAACACGTTCATTCCTATCCGATTTCATCCCATATCTGAATTCGTGTAACTAACTGCAAATAAACACAATCAAATACAGGATAAACATCTCATTTTAAATATAAAAAATCTAAAATATAATTAGGATAATCATTAAGTTTTAACAGAATACTTA